CTCTAGGTGACTCTCTTTAGGATGCTATACATTGTCAATCCCTTTCCTCTGTGGCCCAATAATCTCCTTGAACAGAAAATTTGGGACACCACTGAGTTACAGGATATTACAGTACAGGTTCCCTTGGGTTCTGAATTCTCACTGACATTGAAGGGCAAGGGCCAAAATAATGGCTAACCTTGTAGCCCCTCTATTTCTCTAATATTTGGCCTGCAAACTTTAGTTGTCAAACATATCTAAAAGAGAAACTTAATAACATTATGACCCTGTAACAGAGGAGGTAGAGCTTAATATCATTGTCTGAATATCAAATGCCTTAGACATAACATAGAACTGGTATTTTCCAACAATCATTGATATTCTAAACTTTAAGTTCCTATAGAATGTGAAAAAAATTACTTTTTTACACAGAAATTTAGAAATTAAACCATATACAACATTGTAGCAGGACAGTCATATAAGATTTTTTTCTCGTCTCTTGTTTCCTTTTATTATCTTTTCTTTTAAACAATCATTTACTTGAGAGAGAGCATTGCAATAACTGATATGTTAGAAGCAGTACGCTTTTAGAAGACCAGAATGACAGGCATTCCAAGCATGGTTTTAGTATTACACATTGCTGACCTCAGTGCAGTTGTATAGTTCACAGATATCAGCTTATGTAATCAATGTGAGAATTCTACCAGTTAACTGCTACTTTCAAACACCTGATGAGGATTCTTGGGACCACTGCCTTAACCATCTTGTGTATATAAATGTGTGGTTTTACCCATGCCATTTTTTCTAACTTTTCTCCTTGCTCACTCTTTATTGTTTAATCCTTAAGTTCTCGCTTTAAATTTAACTCTGTTATACCATGCAATTTTTATTTCTTCTACTGACTTCTTACACTAGGGAAACTATATGATATTTACACATGTGGGTCTGGTTTATTTCACTACCGAGTATATCTTCAAGTGGCATCCACTTATATATGAAGTCTTTGAGTTAATTATTCTTTATAGCTGTGTAACACTCATTGTATAAAAACACCACATCTTTTTCATCCATTCCTCAGGTGACGGGCATTTTGGTAGTTTCCAAGATTTGTCTTTTAGGGCCAGGCAGATGGCTCAGTGGAATAAGCGCTTCCCTAGCAAGCACAAGGGCCTGAGTTCAATCCCCGGTTCCACAAAAAAAAAAAAAAAAAAAAAAAAAGATTTGTCTTTCGCAAATTCTGCTGCTATAAACATAGTCACACATATATCACTATGATATGATGTTTTTCAGATCTTTTGGGAAAAGTCCCAATAGCGGGATAGCTGGATTGAATGGGCTATCCAATCCTAGTCTTTATTAATTTTATTGAGAAACAGCAATGCGACAGTTTTCAAACCAATTAATATGACAGTTTCAATAATTAATACATTAGGGGGCCTGGAACTACCTCTGTTCTTTAAGTGGCTGCTTCCACAATGCTGGCAGCCTCAGGTTGCTGTAGTTCGATCCCCACAACACTCCAGCCATCCAAGAGTGCCCTGAAGGCATTCAACGAGCAAAAAAAAAAAAAAAAAAAAAAGTCCTTATTCCATTGGGGCTGGGGAGATAGCTCACTTGAATAAGTGCTTGCCTGGCAAGCACAAGGACCTGAGTTCAGTCCCCAGTTCTGAAAAAAAAAAAAAATTAATACATTGTGTATTACATATTCTTAGTGGTTATTCATAGTACAAGATGCAGACATGATACCCTGTCCAAATACTATTAGTATAAAACTTTCTTCTCATTTAATTAAGAGAAAGTATCTGTATGTCTATCTTGGTTTGTATATACAGATACAACATGGTCCTTCCTTTCTATCCCCCTTTTTTGTTCAGTCCTAGTCTTTTAAGGAGTCTCCACACTGATTTCCATGATGGTTGCGCCAGTCTACATTCCCAACAGCTTTGGGGAAGGGTTCCTTTTTCCCCACAGCCTCTCCAACATTTGTTGGGGTTTATTTCTTTATGATAGCCATTCTTTCTGGGGTGAGATGGTATCTCAGTATTGTTTTAATTTGCATTTCATGAATGGCTAGTGAAGTGGAGCATTTTTTCATGCATTTATTAGCTTCTAGTAATTCTTCCTCTGATAAAGCGTGGTCATCATCTAGGGGCTGGTGAGATGGCTCAGTGGTCTAAAGCACCTACTTAGAACAAGCTTAGCAAAGCACAGGGACCGTGGTTCAATCCCCCAGCAACACATGCCAGCCAGCCCCGCCCCCAGGTGGGCTGAGCTGGCCACACACACAAATAAATAAATAAATAAATAAATAAATAAATAAATAAAAACGTGGGCATCTCAGATGCCCATTTCTGAATTGGTTCTTTAAATTTTGATGCCCTAAATTTTTTACTTCTTTATACATTCTAGAGAGAAAACCTTTGTCTGAGTACTTATTAAGTGTTGTTCCAAATTTGTGGGTTGTGTTTTCACTCTGTTGGTAATGTCTTTTGATGTGCAAAAACTTCTCAATAAGAAGAGGTTCCAGTCGTTAATTCTTTCAAGTATTACCTGTGCAGTTTGATTTGTGTTCATGAACTCTGCCTACCCCGAGGTCAAGATTTACCCCTACTTTCTCTTCCAAGATATTCGGTGTTTCTGTTTTAATATTTACATCTTTAATCCATTCTGACTTTAGTTTCATGCATGATGATAGAGCTAGGTCAAGTTTTAGTTTCTCACCATGTTGAGAGACAGTTTCTCCAGCACCATTTGTTAAAGAGGCTATCTATCTTCCAGTAAGTATGTTTGGCCCCTTTGTCAAAGATAAGGTGGCTGAGTGTGTTTGTAGTTGCTTCTGCATCTTCTGATCAATTCCATTGACCCTCAGGTCTCTTTTTTTGACAAAACCATGCTCATTTTATCACAGTAACTTCATAGAATAATTTCAAGTCACAAATTATAATGCCTCCTGCCTTGTCTTTGTTGACCAGGATTGCCTTTTCTATTGTAGGTCATTTCTGGTTCTAAGTAAATTTTAGGAATGATTTCTCTGGGTCTGTGAGGTATGTTCATGGTAGTTTGGTAGGGATTGCATTTAATCTGTATAACAATTTTGGAAGTATGGCCATCTTCACAGTGTTCATTCTTCCTATCCATGAGCAGGGAATGTCTTTCCATTTTCTGAAATCCTCTACTATCTCTTTGTGCATAGTACTGTAATTTTCATTAAATAGATCTTTGACTTCTTTAGTTAGATTAATTCCTAAGTAATTTATTTTCTGTGGTCCTATTGTAAAAGGAATTAGTTCTCTAATTTCCCTCTCAGTGTCTTTGTTATCTGTAGAGGAACACTATTGACTTTTGGGTATTCACTTTGTAGTGTGCTATGCTACTGAATTTGTGTATTAATTCTAGTAGCTTCCTGCATGGAGTTTTATGAGTCTTCCAAGTTGTGTACCATGTCGTCTGCAAATAATGATAGTTTAACTTCTTCTTTACCTATTCTTATTCCTTTTATTTCTCTGTCTTGTCTAATGGCTATAGCTAATGATTCCATAACTATATTGTATAGGAGTGGTGATAGAGAACATCCTTGCCTTTTACCAGATCTGAGAATAAAAGAGTTCAGTTCTTCCTCATTTAGAATTATGTTAGCCATTGGGTTGTCATGGATGGCTTTTATCAAAATGAGGTAGAGACCATCTATTCCAATTTTCTGTAGCACTTTGAAAATTAATGAGATTCTTGGGTTTTTGAAACTAACAGTTAATTGGTAGGATTCTCATCTTGACTAACTATATATGCTGATTCCTGAACTAAGCAACTGCACTGAGGATAGCAATGTGTGATACTAGGGCCATGCTTGGAATGCCAGTCATTCTGGTCTTCTTAATGAGTGCTGCTTCTAATATCATATCAATTACTGCTGTACTGTCTCTCAAATAAATGTCTGTTTTTAAAAAGGGGTGTTAATGTGTGAAGTCGAGCAACAAGAAGAAAGATGTCATAGTACTGTTCTGCTACAATGCTGTATGTGGTTGGACTTCTAAGTTTCTGTGTAAAAATATGTAATTGTTTATTTCTACGTTTTTTACTATTTTTTTAATTTTTTCATATTCTCTAGGGACTTGAAGTCTAGCATATCAACAATTGGTGAAAGGTGCCTGTTTCATGTTGTGTCTAGTGTGCTTGATGTTCAGATAGAGAGTGATCTTTGGCTCAGCTGCCTGTGTTGTAGGGTAATAACATCATTGAGCTTCTCTTCTGGAGGGTTAGCAACTAAGGTTTGCAAACCAAGAATTGGAGAGGGAGAAAGGCTACAGGGATGCCAAAGATTTTGGCCCCAACCCTTCTGGTCAGTGAGGACTCATGACATAGGAGAACCTGTGCTGTGGCATCCTGCAACTCATTGATGTCCCCAATTTTCTAATCGGGGAGACTGTGGGGCCACAGAGGAAAATGAATGAGTGTTGGACTTTGTCAAAACACTTTTGTGCATCAAGTGAGGTGATGATGAGGTTTTTGGATTTAGCTCTACTGACATAGTGTAGATGTATGTATGTTGAAACATCCTTGCATCCCTGGGATGAATCCTACCTGGTCAAGGTCTATAATCTTCTTGATGATTTGTTGTGTTCCATTTGTTAGGATTTTAATGAAGATTTTTGCATTCATGTTCATGAAGGAGATAGGCCTGTAGTTCTCTTTAGATATAATTGTTCTTATAAGTACAAAAGATTAACAAGGAGAATAAATAATTTACCCTACCACTCCACATGGAAGATATTATCATTACTACAGAATATTTTCTTATAAAACATTCTTTTGAGGGCTGGGGAGGTGGCTCAGTGGAATAAGCACTTCCCTGGCAAGTGCAAGGGCCTGAGTTCAATCCCCGGTTCCAAAAAAAAAAAAAAAAAATTTGCATCTAGTAAAAGGCGGAGGGATAGTTGGCTCAAATAACTGAGAGATGCTTTGAGAGGGACCTGTGAAAACAAAGTAGAGAACTGCTACTGATGATAACTTGAACTTCCCATTAGATATGGAACAGTGCATGAAGTGTCCAGATCATCAGTATGCCAACAGTCAGAAAACACACTGTTTGCAAAAGCTCACAATTTTTCTGAATTATGAAGACCCGCTGGGTACAGTTCTGCTTGGTGCAGCCCTGAGTCTCACTGTCCTCACAGTTGTCATTCTTGGACTATTTGTAAAGCATGCAGACACGCCTATTGTGAGGGCAAATAACAGGGGCCTCAGCTACACCCTGCTCATCTCCCTCACCTTCTGCTTCCTCTGTTCCTTGCTCTTCATTGGCCGTCCCAGCACAGCCACCTGCATCCTCCAACAGACCACATTTGCACTTGTGTTCACTGTAGCTGTTTCCACTGTCTTAGCCAAAACCATCACTGTGGTGCTGGCCTTTAAGGTCACTGCCCCAGGCACAAGAATGAGGCAGTTGCTGCTATCAGGAGCACCTAACTCCATCATCCCCATCTGTACCCTGATCCAGCTCACTCTCTGTGGCATCTGGATGGGGACGAATCCACCCTACATTGACACAGATGCTCACTCTGAACATGGCCACATCATCATCGTGTGCAACAAGGGCTCCCTCACTGCCTTCTACTGTGTCCTGGGATACCTGGGCTCCCTGGCCATGGTGAGCTTCACTGTGGCTTTCCTGGCCAGGAATCTGCCTGACACCTTCAATGAAGCCAAGTTCCTGACGTTCAGCATGCTGGTGTTCTGCAGTGTGTGGGTCACCTTCCTGCCCATGTACCACAGTACTAAGGGAAAGGTCATGGTGGCCATGGAGGTCTTCTCCATCTTGGCCTCCAGTGCTGGGCTCCTAGGCTGCATCTTTGCCCCTAAATGCTTCATTATTTTGTTAAGACCAGAGAGAAATTCTTTGCATGGATTCAAAGACAAAATCAAATCTTGAAGGAAGTGTTCTTCTCGAGTTAAAAAATATTCTTTTATTCCTAGGCAGAAAACTTCTTAGTCAATGCTGCACAATTTTGTCCAACATATTTTAATTTGAAACATAATATGTAATGCAATAAAAATGAGATTTACCTCTTGTCTTATAGTCTTCTGAAAGCTACTAATTTCAATAATCAGTGTCTCAATTTGAAGTTTGTCTGGATGTTCTTCGTATTATTTGTATAATCAGCCATTTAGACTGGGCATGGTGGTGTGGACATATAATCCCAGCTCTTGGAAGGCTGTAAATAGGCGATAACTATGAGTCTGATTTACTAGTGAGAGCCTGAACACCCTATAGACCTTCCCCTAAAAATACAAATAAACAAATAAATAAATGTATAATCAGCCATTTAATCAATTTTGATGATATTGTTCACATACTTCTTTCAACATTGACCTCTCCAATACTTTTGCTAATTTTAAATCTTATCTTTTCTGAGTTGTTGCATGTTCCTGAGTCTCCTCATACATTGTACTGCTTTGTTTCTAAAAAGTATTCTGCTTTTAGTATGATGATAATGCTATTCTTTGATTTTTGGTTGTGTATGCCTCCATCTTACATCTTCAATATTCCTGAGGGTATTTTGCATAATTTCTTTCTCATGTGCCTTTAGAATACTCACGTTGACTGGTTGTAGGTATCATGAAACTCTCTTTCAGTTAACAAAGCAAGACACTGAATATGTATGTTAATGGGGGAAGAAATTCTTAGTGTACCCTAGTGGATCACCTACAGTAATCATTTTTTAATAAATTGGGATATATAGCCACATGTCCCTGCACTATTCATGTTCTGTACATATATAAAATATATATTCAATAATTCTTCATATTTGTCTCTTGATACTTTTTAAATTTTTCTGATACTGTTTACAATGAAACTACTCCACAAAGCCATAGATAATGAGACACTACTTTGTTCTGGGAAAATGTTTACCACTCTGGTGGTCGTGACCAGTGCTAAAGCTGTGTGACTCACTTTGGCATGCATGCAAATTCAGAGATTCTTTTTTTTGTAACACCCTGGGAAATTCAGGGATCATTTGGTGCCTCAGAAAATCAAGGAAGCACTAACACAATTTTAGTGGGGAACTTCATACTTCATTGTCACTGTGGTGGTTGATACATTGTTCTTTCAACTTAAGATGTTGGAAGCAAGCGAATCTAACAATGTTTTAATAAAATATAAGAAGGCATGGAACTTTTGTTTTTTGTGGGAGGAGAAAGGAAAATGTCTAGAAATTCAGTGCAAGGGAAAAACTCAAGGGAAATAATACAAAAGAAAGAAATGTCTTTATTATTACAGTATTATCTACAATTGTGGATGTATTTAGACGTTCCATAGGTGAAGACCAATTGTAATCAACGTAGTTAAGTTTTACATGCAGTTAACTTGAATGGATTATATCTGTTTGGAACTGAGTAATGGCATTTAGTTAAAAAAAAATAGTACACATGGATTGTATTCAATAAATTATTTCAGCATGGATAAAAAAAAAATAAGATGTTGGAAGCTTGGCTGGATCCACTTTTCCATTTTTCCATTCCATGCCCTTGGGTGTGGGGTGCCCCACCCGAGGGCAGGGAGGACCCCTCTCAGAGCGACCCAGCACAGAAAGGGTATGTAAAAGACTTGAGAAATGCTTCTGCACCCCACTTCCTGGAAGGACTTCTGAGCTTCACCATGCCACTTCAGAAGAGCTTGATCTCAGCCGTTTCACTTTGCCACTTCAGAGACACTTAGATCTTTGTGAAACAGCACCAGTCTTCACAGTCAATGTAGAAGGAAGAGAGAGAGTCTTGATGGCAACTGCAACTGCTGCTGCTCCTCTGCTCTTTTTTCTTTTCTGCTGCCATTAACGGCTGTCATTTGCCTTGGAGCCAGCAGAATATGGACTCAAACTGCCACTAACTGTGAGCTAAATAAACCTTTCCTTCCTTCATTTTGAGGGAATTTTGCAGTATCCTCCAGTAACTGTCAAGGAAATTATATCAAGAAATATGAGGAGAAAATATGAAGACTTCTGTTGATCTTTTCTAAAGAATAGAAAATGGAGCCAGGGAGATGGCTCAGTGGAATAAGCGCTTCCCTGGCAAGCGCAAGGGCCTGAGTTCAATCCCTGGTTCTGCCAAAAAACAAACAAAAAAGAATAGAAAATGATGGTCATTATTGGACAGATGCCTTCAAAGGGAGCAGAGAGGTCCTTATGCAAACGACTGAGGTCATGGTTACTTACAAATCAACACAAGGCCAAGTATGAACAAAATGATGTGGCCTTTCACACATTCCTTCATAAGAACCCAAGCCTAAATATCATAATGTCAGAATGTGATTTGGGGGGGATTACTAGAATTAGGAGTCCAATCAGTAGACCTTGGGGGGGATTACTAGAATTAGGAGTCCAATCAGTAGACCTAAGGTCTACTTATTAGTTTAAAGAACAAAGAAATTGCTTCATCATTCTGCTCTGTAGGGCTAGAAGGACAGAACTGTTGTTAATAAAGTAATAAGTAGGGGCTGGTGAGATGGCTCAGTGGTCTAAAGCACCTACTTAGAACAAGCTAAGCTTAGAAAAGCACAGGGACCACGGTTCAATCCCCCAGCACCACATGCCAGCCAGCCTCGCCCCCTGGTGGGCTGAGCTGGACACACAAACACACACACACACACACACACACACACACACATAAATAAAAAATTTTAAAAAATAAAATAAAATAAATAAAGTAATAAGTAGAACTGGAGGGATCAAGATGTATGATGAACAGATACGAATTCCTCCTGATAAATGTTACCATTATGTATATCCAAATATATCAATAGGGGCTGGAGAGATGGCTCAGTGGTCTAAAGCACCTACTTGAAACAAGCTTGGCAAAGCACAGGGACCTCGGTTCGATCCCCCAGCACCACATGCCAGCCAGCCCCGCCCCCTGGTGGGCTGAGCTGGCCACACACACACACACAATAAATAAATGTAATAAATAAAAATAAATTAAAAAAAAACAAATATATCAATAAATTTAATTTAAAAATAAAGAATTCATATCGTCTCTTATATTCCTGATCCTCTACAACATCCACTTGTGCGCTATTTTCATACAACAAGCTGTACAATGTCAATACCTTAACTCAGTGTAAATAACCAGAAAATGGAACCTGCAAAATCTAGCTCATATAATGCCTGAGATCTACATTTCAAACAAAACATGCAACTTAAATTGCAGAAGACCCTTTTTAACTTCCACCTACAAAGAATTCACTATAAGAAAATAAAAACAGGGGCTGGTGAGATGGCTCAGTGGTCTAAAGCACCTACTTAGAACAAGCTTAGCAAAGCACAGGGACCACGGTTCAATCCCCCAGCACCACATGCCAGCCAGCCCTGCCCCCTGGTGGGCTGAGCTGGCCACACACACCCACAAATAAATAAATAAATAAATAAAAACATAAGGGGCCGGGGAGATGGCTCAGTAAAATAAGTGCTTTCCTTGCAAGCACAAAGGTCTGAGTTCAATCCTAGGTTCTGCAAAAAATAAATAAATAAATAAATAAGAAAAAGAAAAAGAAAAACATGAGTTATATTCACATTGGATTTTCTGAAGGGTCCTTGCTAGCAAAATAATTGCATTTATTGACAAATCATTAAATGCTTTGTATGACAGCAAGAAAATTCACATGAAGCTGGAAATACCAAAGAACTGGAAGAGCAATGTTTAAAGAAATATCTGGGGGCCGGGGAGATGGCTCAGTGGAATAAGCGCTTCCCTGGCAAGTGCAAGGTTCTGAGTTCAATCCCCAGTTCCGCAAAAAAAAAAAAAAAAAAAAAAAAGAAAGAAATATCTGGGACAACATAGGTACAGGACATCTGTAGGATGATTATCATGTAGCAGATAATTGAAAATTAAGTTACCTAAACATCATGCACCATTGCAAGAACCATTAACCAGCCGGGGAGATAGCTCAGTAGAATAAACACTGCCTGGTCCTGAGTTCAATCCCCAGTACTGGAAAAAAAAAAAAAAAAAAAAAGCAAGAAGCATTAACCATTGGCAGGACCCTAATCACTTAAGAATCATTTTTTAGGGGCTGGTGAGTTGGCTCAGTGGTCTAAAGCACCTACTTAGAACAAGCTTAGCAAAGTACAGGGACCACGGTTCAATCCCCCAGCACCACATGCCAGACAGCCCCGCCCCCTGGTGTGCTGAGCTGGCCACACACACACACACATAAATAAATAAATAAATTTTTTTTAAAAAAGAATCATTTTTTAAAAATACAGAATAGTAATGTAAAAATATTATAAATGATATAGAACTTCACTAAACCAAATAATATGAATTCAACAGTGCTTGTTATATAGTGTTGTCTTCAAATTAGTTGCTCAGATTATCAGCTATATGCATGCAAAATTGGAAAAGGAAACAAAAAAACTAAGAAATTAAGATGACAGAAAAAGAGAAAAGAATTTTTAATAGCCCCCATTTTAAATGTTTCATTTCATTTTTATTGCGATGGTACAGTTTTGCAGTCCATGATGAAGACAGTTCTTATGGGGAGGTGTTACATGTACAAAACATATCTTAATTTTGATACCTTTCTCCCTGTCCACATGGCCCCCTTCCCTTTGGAAAAGACCTATCTGCCTGTTTCCTATTATCATTTTACTTTGCTCTTTATTTACAATTTGGGTTTCTCATGCCAGAAAACATGCAGTATTTAAGCTCCTCTGTCTCGATCATATGAACATGTTATCAGTGCTTTTGGTAAGTGGCACCATTGTTCTCACACCTCCTACAGCATTGAACATGAAGACTCCTTACCAATGACAACTTCTTTCATTCATATTCATTGAGAGTGAAAGTTTCAGGAGATTTTAGCTGATTGCTTCCTTGTGTTATTTCTGTGTAGCCTGTGTATTGGTCCAGCAGCAGTCTAGATCATCCTCATACCTC